TGGGGATCACTGTCGGGTCTGTAAGGCTGCAGTTAATAAATGTGTGTGCACCGTGCTTGTACATTGAAAAAATAGGTGTACGCACTTATATTTAAAGCTCGTTTGTAAAGCTACATTTAAGGTGTATGCCAAGCATTAAACCTTAGTCACAGTGTGACTATAAGATCAGGGTTTGTGACTTAATAAGTGTTATTTAGAAAAGGAAGAAACTACTTTTAAATATTTGTGCTTATGTTCTCTCCTGGAGGGGATCAGCATGGCATGTTTCATAGAATCATAGAGTGGTTTGGGATGGAAGGGACCTTAAAGGTCATCTAGTTCCAACCTTCTGCCTTGGGCAAGGACACCTCCACTAGACCAGGTTGCTCAAAGCCCCGTCCAACCTAGCCTTGAACACTGCCAGGGATGGGGCAGCCACAACTTCTCTGGGCAACCTGTGCCAGCGCCTCACCACCCTCATAGTGAAGGGAAAAAAAAGTTTGCTTCCAGGTTTGTTTCATAACATAAAAAATGTCCTAGTGATAGGCTGTGTTCTTATGCAAACAGTCTGCTTCCCTCCCTGCTTTTGGCAAAGGTTAAAGAATTTATATTACGGTTTGCAGTACAAACATAGAAGTGCTTAGCACAGTCTGAAATGCTGAATTCAGGAAAACTGTAGACACTGAAAAGCAGGGGCAAGTAGTTTGTATGGACTTCTGCTACTACTATACTATGTGTTCTTTAGATGTCATGGTATATGCCAGGTTGGACAGAGCCTTAGGTGCCACGGTGTAGTGTGAGGCGTCCCTGCCCGTGGCAGGGGGGTTGGAATTAGATGATCTTAAGGTCCTTTACAACCTAAACTGTTCTATGATTCTATGGTTATATATATACCTATTGTTAATCGGTGAGCTGAAAAGTACTCTGCAAACGATAATTATTATTTTTTTTAATTTTTTTTTTAGTTTGATATGTCGTAGAAGTCCTTACTGGTTTTAAAAACTTGTGTTCAATTTCCCTTAGTTTTTGGATGTGTGGTTCATTCCACTTCCTTTGTTGGCAGGTCAGATCCTACCTGAGAATGCTGGTGAGTGGGAACTCTTCCACTGAGTTGAAGAGGAAGTACACTAGTGTGTGTGCATTTTTGAGGTTTTTAAAAGTAGTAGATATCCACAGTGTAGACAGGAGCTTTTCTGAAGTGGAATAACTTAACCCATCATTAAAATTAGGCGTCAAATGCTGGTGCCATAATTCCACATCTACTTCAAAGTAGCTGTGCTGCCAGAGGAAACTGACTTCCTCCCTCCAAGCATCTAAAGAGGCTGACTTTAACTTGGATCAACTCTCTGTTCTGGTTTGCTGTATATATTCCTCAGTCTTGTGGCCATGCAAAGGGTAAATGATACAGGAGCAAAATGGCTTTTGGTGACTGAGTTGGGTTATACCTGCTCAAATTGCCTGTGAAACAGGCCATGGGCAGTCCATAGACAAAATTGGGCTACGAAGACAGCATTATTTCTTTGAAAATAATAATAGCTGTTGCAGCTGGTGGACTATAAGTTATAAGAATGTAGGCTTGAAGTGGGTGTGTAGAGATGACACACACCTTCAAGCTCTTCAGGAGACTTCTGCTTGTTGTGAAAGTTTTCTACTTTCACAGATACTTGTGCAACCCATACTGCCTTTATTCTCAGTATTCAATTATGTGCATGTGTGGAACTGAAGCCACTTATCAATTTAATCTGCCTTGTTTATTAACAACAGAATAAATCCATTGAAACTCAAGTTAACAGCTACAAGTAGTAGTTGCAAGGCAGTCCATTTCATATAATTTTTGCTGGTTTAGAAATACATATCAGTTGATCAGCTTTGTTTTTGTTTTTTTTTCTGGAGCCTACTGGTAGAGACAAAACTGTTGCATAGTGTCACACTGACTCAAATAGAATTCTGTGTAGACTTTTGTGCTTTAATTTTCAGGCTCCCGCTTACCATCTCATTTTAGAAGGAATTCTGATTCTGTGGATAATCAGACTTCTTTTCTCCAAGACGTACAAGCTTCAAGAGCGATCTGATTTAACACCTAAGGTATGATGAAGAAATACTTAGAGAAACTTTTTATAGCTATCAATACATTCACCTGTTGAACCACTGCTGCATCACAAATTATGCTGTTTTTTCTTAGGATTTCAAAGGGTAAGCTTGCTTTGGACTAAGAAACTACTTATTGCTTAAACACTTCAGTTCATGCTTTTAAAGTAGGACTGTGTTTGAGAGTCTGAGAAAATACAAAAGAACTGATGTGAATGTAACTGCTAAGCCATGAAAAGCTGACATTAGTTCTTCTCTATGAATGGCTTTGTTTTAAAAGTGAAAGCTATACTCAAGAATCCCCCAACAAATAAAATGAACTGTAAGAGTGCAGAGAGCAGGAAAATGATCAGTCCGTACATGTGGTATCTGTGAGAAATAAAACTGAGAATTTACAGTGTTAAGTGGGTTCCAGAAAACTTTTTCATTTATTAAAAATTTTCTTCTTTTGCAATGCAGTTGACTGGAATTTCTTCCTGACTTCTGGCTGGAGACTATCAGGAATGAGTAGAGTTTGGTTTGGAGATCTCCCTGGACTAGTTTGTCTGAGACATTGTCTGTAATTGCACATGCTGTATAATGTCAGAGGATGCCATTGGATATATTTAAAGAATTATTGGATGCACTCTCTAAATGTGAAAATAGTGAGGTGAACAGGGACATGCTCATTTTTCTCAGTCAAAGATGAAGATGGAAGCAGTGTTTTCTGTAGGAGGAACTCTTTGGGAGAGACTGTCTTGTCTACAGATAGTTTATTGAAAGTAATCATAAACACAACAGCAAAGTGAAAGTGTGAATAAGACTTTTACAGTTGGTGAACTTTAGCAAACTGACACATCAGAGGTTTGGAGCAATCCCATCTCTTACTCTATCGTGTAGGTGATTGCTGGGAAAGCAGCTTATTTATTTTGTGTAGGGGAATAGCTGTGTGGGGAGAAAAACAACCAACCAACCCACCTTAATCTTCACTAAAAATCTACAGATAGTTGATACTGGTCTGTGTTGTGGGTTATTCCCAAGTAGGCAGCTAAGCACCATGCAGCTGCTTGCACACTTTCTCTTCCACACCCAGTGGGCCGGGGGAAGAGGAAAGGAAGGGTAAAAGCAAACAAAGTTGTGAGTGAAGATAAGATTTTTAATAAGCAAAGAAGAAATGGAAGAAGAGAGAAACAAGACAAGTGATGCTAAAGCAATTGCTCACCACCTCCCATAGGTGGACCAATACGAAGCCAGTTCCTGAGCAAAAGATGGCTAGCTTCCATAAACAGCCTCTTTTCCCTTTTATTGTTGAGCGTGACCTTTTATGGTATGGAATATCTGGTTAGTTTGGGTCACCTGCCTAGTTGTGCCCCCTCCCAAACTCGTGTGCACCCCCCAGTCTATTCACTGTGGGTGCAGAGTGAGACACAGAAGACCATAACACTGTGCAAACACTGTTCAGTGAGACCTACAGCATTAGTGTGTTATCAGCATTGTTTTGGTCACAGACCTAAAACACAGTGCTGTATGGGCTGCTAATCAAAAAAAACCAATACCATCCCAGCCAGACCCAGTACAGTCTGTTTCGTATGGTATGGATCCCATACAGACAGGCTTCTGTGTGTGTATTGAGCTGCATGTAGTAACATGCCAGCTGTTCAGTGAGGAGGCTGCTGATTTCGCTTCTGGTTGGTTCTAGTTTGATTCATGCTGTGGTGTTCATTCCTCACCACAGCAGAAAGGAATACCAGGTAGTTCTGAAACAGGCACTGGAGATAGGCCAGCTCAGGAGGTGGAGCTCAGGTTATCTTTATGTCAGCCACTTGTGTAATGATACTTGTGTACAACCATAATAAATACTACAGAAGAGTACCACTATTGCACAGCCATTTTAATGTGATACATCATGACTAGTCTGTCCTGGGGAAGCAGAGGTAAATGATCCATTGTGTAACCTAGTGCACTTAGGAGTCATACTTCTCAAGCCACCTAAAGGTGGCTTCTGGGTTTAGTCAAACATGTAGCAAGAGAACTAAGAAATCTAGTGCAGGAATCAGCTTTTAACTGACTGTGTCATCCCTTAATAACAGTGTTGTAGGTATTCCTGCTGGTTCTATTCCAGAATAATGAAATCTGCCAAATCATTAACTAAAAAGTTAACATGTCTGTAAGTTCCTGATGGTTGGAATTTTGGGAGGTACAGGTAAGTCTCTGGCCAGACAGGGTGCTGGATGTAGAAGTTCTTGTGGGCTTTTTGCCCAAAATAAAATCTATAGGCAACTGCCAAAGTGCCACTGAGGACTGGAGCAGGCTGTGGGCAATTGCATGGCATCATGTAGCTACAGGTTCACTCTTGAGCCAACAAGTATTCGTGTGAGAGTGCCCTCCCAATGTATGTGCCTTTCACTCTGTATATATAAATGTTACTGAGCTTTTATCTCAAAATAGCTGAAGTCCTACTAGGAGCCATGTCTTAGCATTTGTAGGTGGGAGGAATAGTTGTTTTCTTTGGTTTTAGAATTTTCACTGCAGAGTAGCATGGGAACTGTTTTCATAGAGTGATATTAGACAGGAGGCTGGAAAGTTTCTGTCAGAGACAAATGTTTGATTCGTGGCTGAGATATACTGTAGGCCACAATTGCCCTCTCTTGCAGGAACAGCATTCAGATTGAACCAATGTTGTTCTACAGGGAAGAGCAGATGTAGTCTGTTCTTGCAAAGGTTTTCAGTCATTTTGAGCAGAGACTCCCTATGTAGGTAAAGATTCTCTTATGTATTAGCATAGTTTGAAAACTCATGGCCACAGTTTGTGCCTCTTTATGCCATGCTGATACATACTTGTCTAAATACCGTGAAATTAAAGAGGTGTTATTTGAGGCCCAGCAGATAAAAAAGTGCTAACTTCTGGATCATGGAACAGATACATGGATTGTACAGTTTGAAAACACTAGTGCTAGCTAAAAACTGTTTTCATAAATGTAATTGCTATCTTTTCTTAAAAACTAGGGTCAACAAAGCAATTTATTTTAATAATGTGGGTTGGATGTGTTTATACCTAAATATTTCTCTTATCCAAGGTATTTGGTGCTTAAAAAGTACAAACCACAAAAAATGAAATACAACTACCCAAACCCATTTTATTTAAATATGTGTGTGTATTTAGCTAAATACATTTTAAATATTTCTATATATGCACAAATGTATTAAGTGTGTATATTATAAAATGTACATATGAACATTTTGTATCTTACATTTTCCAGAGTATCGTCTATTAATACAATTTGGTGCCTATTTAGGAGGTAAAAGATAAAAGTGCTGTTACGAATGTGGGGTCACTGCGCGAAGGCCTACTTCTGCTCTGGCCCTTTGGTCACATTTACCCTGAAAAGTCAGCAGGACAGGCCAGTCTACTGAGATATTTGGTGACTAGGAGGGGTGTGGACTGTCCTATCTGCAGTGTGGATGGCTGTTTTAGGTTGAGATGCGTACTCATTTTGATCACCAATATCTCCAATCCCCCACCATAATAAAAGAACTTCTGCCACGGAAGCTTTTGGTAGACTACTGTGCTAAGTACTTGTGGAAACAGCCAAGGCATGAAGATGCAATTGTTTGCTGTTTATATTCCTACATCTGTCATAAAGCAGAATGCGAAGTAATGGATGAGGAGAATGGATGTGATTTAGAATAAGTGATACAGCATTGTTTGAAACAAGGATTGGTCTTCTCTTGTGTATTATATTTTGTGTTAAGGAAAACAGATCAGGATACTGCCACATGTCATCTGTGGTTTGTCAGCTATGCAGTTAGTTCGTGTGCTGCAAACATTTCAAAGGGAAAATTGGAAACTTCTTACAACTTAATATGAGTGGGGAAGAGAAGTACTAATTAGGAATTGCTCATTATCTTCATGTTCACAGATTTTGACTGCAATTGCACTATGCTAATTTATTTTAGTTACAGTGTCCTATAAATACTGTTTTTCTTTCTGCTGGATTCCACACAAAAAGATTTTAATTGAATTTGTGTATCAGTTCCTAGGCTGCTTAGTGATACTTGTTTTTACCCTTAGTTCAAAAAATTAGGCTTAAACAAAAAAGCTAAGTACGTGCTTGCAGAGTTTCAATTCTGCCCTCTTTGAAGAATAGGTTTGTTACTTTGCATGCTCTGCCTTTGAACCACATTGTATAAAAGTTGTTCAAATATTCTTTGCCTCAAAGTCTTAAATAGGAGAAACACTATGCTTCCTAAGTCCTTTCCTCTTAGGCATTTGATGTCATTTAATGCGTTTCTTATTTGTCCTTCCAGAACTTGACAGGCTGCAGCACTTCTCACCTGATTTATTATGCTTCCTTACTAAAAAACCAGCAACAACCAAAACAACCAACCAACAAAAAAACCTCAATATCCCCCCCAAAAATCCCCAAAACAAACAAAAAACCCCAAGACTCCCTAAACCACCAAAAACCCAAACAAAACCCCAGACTCTGTGCTCTAAAATGAACACAAAACTGCCGATGCGAGCAACACCATACATCAGGGCTTTAGGGCCTTTTGACACCAGCTGTTACAGGAGCAGAGTGAAGGCTGTATGAGCATACATCCTGCTTTCTGGTTTTTCAGAAGCCTCTTTGAACCTTTGTGAAAAGGTCTAAGCTGCTACTGGGCAACTGTAACTCAGGATATGGTTTTTTGGTAGCATCTAGGTTGGGAGTATTTTGCTGAGGATCTAGTTAAGGTATATATCCAGTCTGCTTTTGCTGAGTTAGTTTTCATCTAGATTGTTTTTCTGAGGAAGGCTATTGTCTGCTTTTGTAGCTACCAATACCTAAAAAAGGAACAGGAGTGTATTTGTGGCTGAGAGCACTGTACTGTAGCAGTTGCCAGCTTGCAGTGGTATGGGTCCACACACTTAGTTTTAAATGGTGCCTGTGGTATTTTTTTCCAAATAGCAATATGATACAGACATTGACACTAGTGCCTGTTCTGAGGATGGAATTGCAATTCTGTCTTGGATTAATGGAGTTCAGCATACAGGGTTGTGGTTCTACTCTGAGGTTAACCTGAAAGTGGATAATGCTTTTGCGCCATTTTGGTGCTGTGTTTGCATGTTGATCTTTATAGGTCGTGTCATCTGATAACCTTCTCCCGTAGGGTTATTGAGATATTTGCTGGGTCATGTCAAACACCAGGTCTGAAATGGAATGCTGTAATTAGTAATAGTTGATAGTATTTACACACAGCTTAATTTATTACTGTTTTGTTTTCTGATGCTGAGTTACCTATTTGGATTTTTTTAATTGAAGCATTAAATTCTGCTGCCTGACATGCTTTGAATAGCACTAGTACAGGGTGAATTATTAAAACCCCCAACTTTAATGCTTTCCTTAATTCGCAGTACAGCATTTCAGTGCATCCATAACTGTGTGCAAGGCTCCAGCTGGGGTCTCTCCTGTGGTGATTAAAGAAACTAAGTACTTTTTCTAACATAAATGTAGCCACTTCAAAATATTGAGTATATTCAGTTCTGTTGCACACATTAATGGCATTTTATTTCCTTTAAAACATAAGCCCCATGGATTAAATTTCAGTAAGAAATCTAACATAGGAAAGTTAAATAAAAAGGTATTTAAAGTACATCTGCAAAATATTAGAAACACAAGTGGCTATGCTCCCATAAGAAGGATCTTTTCTGACATAGACAGCTATTGAAATTTCCATTTGTGTTTTGAAATAGACCCTTGTGGAGCTCCTGGGATATTAGTTAGTAGTCTGGAATTACCTAGGAATGAAGTTATTCATTAGTTTAGTAAAAGGAAACTGGTGAAAATGCAGGAGACCGTGTTGTATGTAGTTTCTTTTTGATTTTGTTTGTATCTTAACTTGGTTTTGTTCTTCAGAAGCTTTGAAAAGTGTATTTTTTAAAAGGAATGGAAAAAGATATTGCTGTGGTGTTTTCAAAAATTATTTTAGAATTTATATTTTAGTATTGAAACAAGTAGCCTTAAATATTATACTGCTTTTTTAAATAATAGAGAAATATAAACCCATTGTAGTTATATCATTCAAAGTTAGTGTGTCTACAAATATGTTACCAGGTGTGTTTTGCTGTACTATTAAATAATGCTTCAGGAAAGTTCTGCTTTCATAGTATGAAGGATGATTTTGGTGATTTGCCCCAGTCATTGCTAATTTACGTGGAACTAATCTAACACACCTGTTATGCTGGTCCACTGCATGTCCTTTGGAAAATTCATCTAACTGAGGTTTTCTAAAGAGTTTAAAGCACTTTGAAAATAAATGCGCATTCAATATTCCTCCATGGTTAGGAGGGGGACGTGTGGTTTAGAAGCTCTTGTTACCATTTCTTGAGCATTTGGCAGTTTTTCTGCACTTTGTCCTGCTCACATATGTGTTACTTTGCTAAGTATTTTAATGCCACAGTTGCTTAAACAGCACTGTTGAAGACTTGAGAATGTAAAGTGAAGCCATTTATATTCACTTATTATGTAATTTGTATTCAGTTACGTAAACTCTAGAGGAGATTTTAATAATACATTGAATGAAACAGTATTGATTAAAATTTGGCAGGCATACCAAGTTACTGTCGCTTCTCTTAATTATCATATGATGAGATTTTTAATGCATAGGCACAGCTGGGCTATCTTTCTTTGTATTTCCCTCCCTTTGAAGAATTTGGAGCCCCTCAGCTGAACATACTGAGATAGTATTAATTCTAAGTATCTCAGAAAGGTGACACATTAGGATACATAATTTCTGATACTACTCTTACCAACTGTTTATTAGCACATGATGTCTTTTCTGAAGGAAATCTTTCTGAGAAGTATTCGTTTTCTCCTGTTCAGGAAAAAGAAGAGTTGATTGAAGAATGGCAGCCAGAGCCTCTTGTACCTCCTGTGCCAAAAGATCACCCAGCTCTCAACTACAACATTGTTTCAGGGTAAATGTAACCAAAATAAATTCTGGTTTTTATTTCAATTCAAATACTTAACCTCCATATTTTTAAGCATATTTCTTACTAAGCATTTCTGTATTTTTAAATCCTTTCATGAATGAGTTGCATTTTTAGGTAGCAGAACTGAATTTGCCACTGAAGAGATGCTTGGTTTTGCAACATTATCAAGACTGTCTTATTAAGAAAGTATTTCTGACTTTAAATGTTAGAGTTTGTGTTTGGTTGGTTTTTTTGGTTGCTTGGTTGTTTTTTTTGTATTGAGGGTGGGTAGAGGAACACTTTATCTTTGTCTTCATTGTTAGTCTGTATTGTTTGCTAGTAATTTATTTCTTTTTTTCTGAATATGTAGACATAGACATCCAAAAGTGGTTGCCACCTTCTGTGCAGGGGTTGGGGAGGAAAAACACTCATCACAAACTGCTTCAGAAGAAACTGATTTTGCAGCTAGCCACTTGGCACTTCATGAAAAGTTGTTCATCTTTGGACAATCAGAAATGGAGATGATGAAGTTGCTTTGTGAGGAAATTATGGCTCCGCATTCCTTGTGTGTTACGAGGCTTTTAAAATGTGTAATGACTTAGGCAAGAGTCATCATATTTTAGAGGTTGCTTTAAAATTTCTTTCACAAGCTTCGGATGTATGTCAGTAATTTTTACAATATAAGCATTCTTAATATCTTTCTAGTGACACTAATAGTTTAAAATAATTCAATGACAGAGTGCAATTATTTGCTGTCATAGGGAGCTCCATTTTCATGGTTCTGTCACCATGGAAAAGTCTGTCTCTGAAAAAAGATGCCTATTTTAATTGACTGTGATGTGAACAATACTTCATTGTTCAGAATTTTGAAACAATCACTACTGTGGACTTAAAGAAAGTGGTGGGTGTTTAAAAAAGCCCTGAACAAATTACAGTCATAGAGTCATAGAATGGTTTGGCTTGGAAGGAACATTAAAGATGATCTAGTTCAAACCCTCCTGTCATGGGCTGGGACATCTTCTGCCTCTTGGGGATTTTTTGCAAGGTGCTCACCAGCAACATTTATTTTGTGTTCAGACAGTCTCAGTGCTTACCAGACGGGTTTGTTCCAGTTCAGGGTGTTCTGTTTCTTGTGAGGAGGGTTGATGCTGTTTTGGGGTACCTGCGACTTGGAAGATGGTTTCTCTTGGTTTGGGCAGTGTCTTCCACTTAAGGTGGTTTTACTCCATTTTTAGGGTATGCTACTGCTCATAAGCAGCAAGTACCTTGCAGCATCCGTTACAGGTGTACGTACAGCTGTCATCCAGCTTAGTGACTGTGTGACCATTCAAAGATGGAGATTCAGCCCTGAAAGCGTAAACCTAGATGTTGCCTTAAAAACAAAACCATAATTTCCCCCCTTCTTAAGGGAGATGTGAGCTTTCCTATGACTGACAGCACTATTGTGAGAGGGCACCTTCCTCTCATTTTTAGGCATAAGAGGCTCAGCTCTGTCCCATTGCCTCAGAAAGTGCAAGGTCCTACACCTTGATGAGGCAATCCCCGGCACAGCTCCAGGCTGGGCGGAGAAGTGATTTAGAGCAGCCTGAGGAGAAGGACTTGGGGGTGTTGATCAGTAAGAAACTGAACATGAACCGGCAGTTTGTGCTCACAGGCCAGAAAGCTAGCCATATGCTGGACTGCATCAAAAGGAGTGTGACCAGCAAGTTGAAGGAGGTGATCCTGCCCCTCTGCTCTGCTCTGCTCTCATGAGACCCCACTTGGAGCGCTGTGAGCAGTTCTGGTGTCCTCAACATAAAGAAGGACATGGAGCTGTTGGAGCGAGTCCAGAGGAGGGCCACGAGGCTGATCGGGGGCTGGAGCACCTCCCGTATGTAGACAGGCTGAGAAAGTTGGGGCTGTTCAGCCTGGAGAAGAGAAGCTGCGTGGAGACCTCATAGCAGCCTTCTAGTACCTGAAGGGGGCCTATAAGGATTCTGGGGAGGGACTCTTCGTCAGGGACTGTAGTGGTAATGGGTTCAAACTTAAGCAGGAGAAGTATAGGTTAGATAAAATGAAGCTCTTTACAGTGAGGGTGGTGAGGCACTGGAATGGGTTGCCCAAGGAAGTTGTGAATGCTCCATCCCTGGCAGTGTTCAAGACCAGGTTAGACAGAGTCTTGGGTGACATGGTTTAGTGTGAGGTGTCCCTGCCCATGGCAAGGGGTTGGAACTAGATGATCTTAAGGTCCCTTCCAGCCCTAACCATTCTATGATTTTATGATTTGTCATTTGATCTATGACCAAAATCCATAGTTATAGGTCTGCTGTTGTGAATATCTACAAGCCTAAGTAGTTGTTTCACTTAATAGGACTTCCAGGATTTGGTACAGCTTGTTGATGAGCACGACACAGGAACAGATCCAAGTGTATTTTTAATGGCAGTCAGTTTCCCAAGACAATAGCATATGTATTATGCTACTACTATGCAGAATATGCACTACAGTAATGCAGGATTGCTCCTTTGTGGGGTCAGGTTCAACTTGTGTCAGTTTAGTGTCATGGAATGGCAGTGTTGAACATACACAGCACATGCGCTCCTTTAGTAGAAAGCTTTCCAAAGCTGTTTTGTAAGCTTTGCAATTGATTGGATGAAGTAACGTGCTTTATTTTTAAAGTGAGCATATCTAAAACCATTGGGGTTTTTTAGGTGAAGTTCAGGCAGTTCAGTGTTTTTGTTAGTTTGTAGTGTATAGCTTGGACTTCAAAGTTTACTTGCTTTACACGCCAAATGTACCTATTGAAATACTGACAGCAGTCAGGTTTGGAGCAGCTGTGCACAGATATTTGACATTTGAGCAGCTCTGCTTAATTTTGATTGAAAATTGCTCAGTGCTAGTTTCCACATGGGAAAAGCTTGTTGAAATTTTTCTATTTGAGCAATAATATAGAACTTCGACTGTAATACTTCAGAACACATACAGAAATGGGTGGATGTAAACTTTTATATTTGGCTTAGCTTTGAGACTTCTTGACATTGAGTAATTATTAAAACTTTTGATTTGGTAGCATTGAAGTGTATAACTGGCAAAACCAGGATTGCTTTTAAGATAGATGTGATGCTTGCCATAATAGCTGTTTTTATCTTAAATTTTTTAATAACTGCTTATCTAAGTCATAATCTTGTGGGGTAGAAAATTTCTCTGCCCTTTGCTTCACATATATTGTGCACTTGTTAATTTGTTAATATTGTGTGTTTTCACACTTTCTGTGTTTCATGATTACTTGAATTATCCAAACTGTTATGGATTATACAGAATTGGAAACTTGAGATGACAGTATGAAACTTGATAAGACGATATGTTTGTCTGCTTACAGCTAGTATCTATATTTCAGGAGCCCTGTTCAGTATAAGATTGGTATTGTGGGCTTGGTTTATGACAAAAACATTGGTTTTAAATTAATTTTTATCTGGAATCATGTAGGAACTAAATTTCCTTTTTTGTTTGTAGTTTTCCTTCTTTCAAATAGATACCACTTTGCTTCGAAATGAGAAGCTTATATATCTCTTAATATATTTTTATGTATCTCTGTATATCTCTTCAGTAATCATACTTTCAACAATTAATAGCAAAACTAAGCATCTCAAGAAGGTATTTATGGTTTATTTAAATACAGGAATAAATTTTTTGCTTAGTAGAATAGCGTATTTGTGACTTGACACTGAACTTAAGTACTGATTGGCAGCTGCAAAGGAAAAAGTGGGAAGAGGGAATCTTGACAAAGCTGTGTGCTGTTTACTGTTGAAAAATGAAACTAGTGTACTGTTTGACTGTTTATGAAAATGGCAACTGTTCATAACAAAAGGTCTGTAATTTTTTTTCAGTCCTCCTACCCATATAATCACTGTTAATGGCAAGGAATGTATAAACTTTGCATCATTTAACTTTCTTGGACTTTTGGATAATGAAAAGGTTAAGGTGAGTTCTTCCAGTTACTGTATTTGTGCAATTACTCCTCTTATACTTTGTATGTTATCTTGAAATTAAGAATGACTTCAGAAAGCACCAGCTTTGTCAACGAAGTATTCTTGTAAAGCAGCAAGGAGGATCATAAACCTTGTAATTTTGTGCTCATCAGGTTTGCCTTTTCACTAAAATTTAATCTGTACTTTCTTCACACTCACCAGTTATCAAGTAAGATTAGTATCTGATGTCCTTAACCATTAGAATGCAATCGATCATGCTTAAACACTTGTCTAAAGTAGTTTTGATGTGAAATTAATTCATAGAATTCAGTTAATTGTTATGCTTTATGTAAAGCAGGTCATATAACATGATGGAAGAACTGGCCTATATACACTGGTATAAAATTCTTGATGTGAAGTGTACGGAAGAGTTGGAGATTTAGTGTAGGAATAAATATTTCATGTGATTTTTTTTCTGTAAAGACTGCAGCCCAGGCATCTCTGAAGAAATATGGTGTTGGCACTTGTGGACCTAGGGGATTCTATGGTACTTTTGGTGAGTAACTTTCTCTAATCTGACAGTGTTCAAACTAGTTTGATAAGTCAGCCAAAATAGTCCTGTGTATAAGCAGCAAATAATTTCTATTGCTGTGAAGAACAGTTCCCCTCTAACACACTTTTTACTGTAATTTTTAAGGAGTGGTAGTGTTTATTATTAGTAGCTTTGTTTCTTATTCATTTTATGACTTTTCTTACTCTGTCTAATGCTGGTCTTGGAAGAGAATTGTGAAATTAAATATAATCTGTTTTAGTTCTGGTCACCAAATTAGAAAGAGAAAATAAACATACTAGAATTTAATCATGCATGGTGAATTTAAGTTTAAATTAATAATTTTCTAAGTAGACCGCAAGAGGGCAGTCTGATTTCTATGATAAAGATTATTGTTAAGTTTATCTAATGCTGTGGTCAGAATGAAGTTTTCCTTTGCTGATAACTTTTAAGTTGTAATTAAGAGATTTTATGACACAAGCGAGCGTAACTAAGGGTTTTTTCATTCTTTTAAGAAGTGTAAGTTGTTAAATATCAGGTTCTAGAAATAGTTCCTTACAGGCATTTGGTATTTTGAAATACTGTATGGAAACCAGAGATTAATTCATGAATAGCTGCACAGTTGTAGGCTAAAACCATCAACTCATCATCTTGTGAACTTTCTGTTCTTCCCTGAGGCAGTGGAATTCACAGCATGTTTATGCTTAAATGATTTCACAGGCATAGCTTCCTGTAGCCTTGACTTGAAATCAAGACTAACTTGAACTCTTCTGAGTTAGTCAAGCTAGTCTTTTAAGTGATCAGCCAGGAACTCTACCTGTTTTGATTTGTTAGAAGTTTATATATCAGAGCAAAGTTGAATCTTTGATACCAGTCTTGTAGATTGTTCATTAGCATAAAATTATAACTCATTTCTAAAGTAGGTGCTGGTGGCCCTTTATTAGGAGAGCTTTTAGGAACTGATCAGTTTCACACTGAAAAGCTCAAAGAAACCTGTGGACTAATGCCTCCTGTGTTTTGAGTCCAGGCTGATTTTAAGTTCGTGAAACTTTACTCCTTTCTAATAATTACTCAAGACAAGACTGGTTAAATTTTCTTCTCTGTTAAGTGAGAGATTCTTTGTGTTGTTTTCTGCCTTCTTTGGAGGTCTAATCCTAAGATCCAAACTGTATAGCTTTTGCATTGCGTTCATTGGCTTCTGAATTTTGGGGGTAGAAGCTCCATTTCACGAAGCAAGTATTGCTTTACGTATAATCTGTGGTATTGTTGCATGACATCACTAGTGAAGAAAGCAATTCTCCAAGTGGAGAACTGGTTTAAAATTGACAAACTCCTCATGTTCTTGGATCCCAAACTGTCCTCCTGTTCTCCCTTGACTTTAAACATTTGAGTACTGCAGCATTATGAATCTCTGATGATAAACACTTCTTACCTCAGTAATGTTGCATGCCTCAAACTTTTCACACGATTTTTCATGTGCTGTGACTTTAGTAAATGAGTTATGTTATGTCCAGAGCTATGTAGTTTCCTCTTACGTAACTATAGAGGATTTAATTGAGGATTGCCAATTGTTGTCACTCAGTTATCCCCTTTTAGGGGCTGATACATCAATATCAGAGATTTCTTTCTTTGGAAACATAGGTACTGTGTTATAATTTATTTTGTATGGAGACTTGATTCCTCATATCTCTGCCTGTTTGAAGATATTTTGTAGCTTTAGTAAGTCTCTACCAAGACATTTTTGCTGTGTGCTATATCCCTGAAAACTGCTTTTGTTGTATGATAAGCCTTAAATACTAATATATTCATGCATAACTGAATCTTCGAGGTTATTTTCTTGATGATGACAGCTGAGGGGTGTATCGCTGTTTTGGTGGTGGGTTTTTTTTAAGGCTATTGTTGATTGCCTAGCAATCAGAGTTTCAGTACTACTATGAAGATTGGAACTGGCTACCTGATAAAATATATAAATGATGATGTGGGATTTGGTGTCGGTTCTTGTGCTTTGGATTTGCATGTGAGCACATATTGGGCACAGAACTGGCATTCATAAAGTTGTTGATAATAATAGCTTTATTAAGGTTTCATAAGTATGTAGAAAACTGTTCCAGTCATATTTTCCTCTGTGCAAATGTACTCTAGGTAGTGTTTGCAGCTTTCACTTAAGGCTAGGCTAACCCAAGTGCTGTAACCAGACTAAAGCAAATCACTGCGATAAAGAGTAGGAGAGTGAGATAGTACTCTGTTTTTATCACAGTGGAACGGTAATGAAGCCTTAATTCTTTGAAGCTTAATACTGTCTTAAGCTTTCCAACCTCACAATTACATGAAGCATTCATTCCCTTATGTAATGATGTATCAAATTTGTCTGTGCTGTATGTCAATTCTGAATGTAAATATCCTTGCCCTTGGCAAAAATTAGTAGACTTGCAATTTTTTTTTTTATGTAACACAAATCTGATTATATTTGTTAGGTCATTGCTACTGACAATATCTCTTCTTCCCACTGTTTTTACTTAGACCTTGCACATTGTAGTGCTGGTTGCTGCTGAGTAAAGCTTAGTGAGACTCAAGTTTTCATTTTTTAACTGCGGTGATCTTGTCACCTTTTCTATTAATTTTTTTTCTATTTTCCTTTTTAATTAAAAAATGTACATGGTCTTTTACATGCAAACATTTTTCCCCATTAGGTATCACTAGATAGCAAAAGGGAACTTTTGAAATAGAGAGTGGTTAAACTTTTTGTTTCAGTTTAAAACTAGTGGAAAACCAAATAATTTGTTTCCATTCTTTTTTTTTTTTTTTTTTTTTTTTGATGCTCGGGTAAACATCAGGAAAGGGTTGTTGAAGATTTATAGTTTGCAGCTTCTTGACTGTGATTGGGAGACTGTAGTTTGAAGACATACCTTTCGGTTTTATTGTATAAATACATGAATCGGGTAGATGTGCTCTTTTGGGAAAGGTTATGCTAGATATTTGTTGAGTATGGCAAAGTTAAGATTTCTACAAAGCCCTTTTTTCCTATACCCCTGCTGTTGGTACCTTGCTAGAAATAGCAACATTGATGTAACTGTGCCTCACAGGCTATTGAAGAATCTGTATTTTTAACTGATTTTGCCTCGTCTGATTTTAGTTTCAGTGTACTTTAAATAACTGCAGGAAGGTAATTTGGCCAATGGTGATGTTTCAACATATGAAGGACCTGTATTTGCCTTTTAGTCTTGTTTATTTCCAGCTGATAAAAGGCATAATTCTGACTAACATTTTCTAGCAGAAGCAGGTAGTGGCAAGAGAGCTACACAACTAAATTAACAGTTGATCTGGTACAGGATATTTTGCTTAGGCAGAATACTTATTGCTGTGGTCGCCTTTCTGCAGGAACAATCCACTCGCTCTGTGGTATTGCCCTTTTTAATCTTTTGATTTAGTGGTGTTTTGTTTGTAGCATGGATCACTGACTGACTTGGTTTGGGAAATGCTTGTGTGTGTAATTGTGTCAATTTATCTTAAGGGTGGGTAATCTCTGGCATGCAGATGGTGACCTTTTCAATTGGCTGAAGTGCATTCAGGAGATGGTATGTGATTGCAGCCTGACAAGAGTAGTTTTCTGTTACAATGATAGCTGTGCTGTATGCAGTGGAAATATCAGCTTGGAAGAACTGACAGTCTGCCAACAGGACCTCATTAATTGCTATAAATTACATGGCTGTTTGTTGTCTGACTGTAGGAACTGTGCTCCCTGGTTGCAGTCCAGGAACACTGCATCATTTACCTGTGGTCTAATCCTAAGTAGATTTTAATTACCATTGCATAAGAACATGAGAACCGTATTACATAGATATTTTAAAATCTATCAAAGCTTCTGATCAGTACCAGATTACTTGTCTGTTTAAGGCTGGATTGGTTGCAGCTGGTTTTGGGGAAGTTACTTGATGTAATACTCTTTCTACAAATAAACATTCTGTTTCCTTCAATTGGATGATTGCTGAAAGCAATGATAATCTTTCTGATATGAAAGCAAGTAAACTATCTCGGATATTTTCAATTTTTCACTCAGATGTGCACTTAGAATTAGAAGAACGACTAGCAAAATTCATGAAGACAGAGGAAGCTATTATATACTCTTACGGATTTGCAACAATTGCTAGTGCTATTCCTGCGTATTCAAAAAGAGGGGACATTGTGTTTGTGTAAGTATTATTTTCTACTTGGGAAATTCCAGATTAAGGGGTTTTCCGTTAGATTTTTCTTTTTCATTGTTGTTAAACATGTTAATTTAACTATTTAAAAATAATGCTGGTTTTGATAAAGTATTTTGTTGCACAAAGCTCCAATATTTCTTCTTTGCCAGATACTCTGAATCAAATCAGTTGCTGTTTTTTATCATGGAAAAGTAGACATGGGCACTAAACTGAAAAAAACCCAAACCCAAAACCACAAACTTGCACATGCAGGAACTAACTGAAGTGTAATATCTAGGTTTTTTTGTAAGAAACTATATGTTTTTTCTCCTCTTTACTGCTGGCTTTTAACCGTTCTTGCAGATCAGTTGTTCCCCATATGCATATTTGCAACAGATTAGTTGGATAAATATTGGTACATATTAAAATTTTTTACAAAAGAATAGCCATGCAGGGTCAAACTAAGGAATCAGAAGGCCTGGTACCTGGTCACTGAGAGCAACAGTCAGAATTTTTCTAGGGAACAGTAAAAACCCAAAAGAAGCAAAGTAACAATACTCAAAACTTTCTGAGCCGAAAGAAGAGGGTTTCGATTCAGTGGTAGTTGGATTTTTTGTACTGATTCTTTCAGTACCTTTGTAAATCTTTAATATTCACAGTTTAACTTGAACATTTTATTAAAAAATGTATAGAAATACCTGTTTTGAACATAACACCCACTCATTTCAGTTGATCTGTTTAATTTTTAGACTGAACTAATGGATCTTCCCCATGGATGGAATGAGTGGCTATGTGGGGCTTAGCTGCCTGCTGGGGTTAAGCCACAACACACTGATAATTTTGTATTGGTCTGCCAAAGTCTTTATCAGTGCTCTCTTTTTCTAAGTGTAAGGCTTGCAGCCTATTTGACTTCCTTACAGAAGTTCTTTCATAACTTCTGTCATATCTTTTGGTCATCTTTGGGCATTTTCCATATCAGCTTTATTGAGATGAACGGCCAGGATTTTTGTGTGCTATTCAAGGATGCCAGTGTACAATTTCAGCTGTAAAGCAGAAAAAAGATGTGACAAGATCTCTCCATATCTAAAAGCAACTTGGTTGAATACTGCACTTAGCATGTGCAGGAGGTTTGATTTAGTTGCCTCTTTTAAATACTACTCAAATTTAAGCAGCTGTGAAATTGCATACTGCATCATTTTCAGATATTTGCATTTCCAATACTTAAAAATAGCAGTTCTTTGAACAGTGAGTTAGTAATTCCCAAAGCATATTAAAAAGCAGGCTTTCAGTATGTGGAGGACCACTATAAATGTCACAGGCACATCTTTGCACTTTTTTTCTAAGACCCACAGTAAATTGAGTGAGATGTTTCTGGGATGATTACCGTGGTATTGTAGCTGATCCATGGAATGCTGTGCTCAGATAAACTGCTGTCCCATACAAACAAAAGGACCAGTGTACACTTAAAAAACCCCCAAACTGTTGGCTTGCTTTTAGTGGCTGTAGTACATGGGAAAGTTGAGAAGTTTTGAAAATGAGTTTTCCAAATGTAAAGAAAATATGATTCTTCAATATGATTCTATGTATAAATCTGGTTTTAACTGAAGCTGAGTACCACTATCTGCTCAAAAGCAGGACAGATCTTATAGACAGCTTTCTCTGAATAATTAAACCGAGTGCAAACTTAGAAGGGCTTGCTGTATTTACAGAGATGAAGCTGCCTGCTTTGCTATTCAGAAGGGATTACAAGCATCTCGTAGTAACATCAAGTTATTTAAGCATAATGATATGGCTGACCTTGAACAACTGTTGAAAGAACAAGAGACTGAAGATCAAAAGGTACCATTCCTTTGAAGAAATACTTGTACTTTTTTTGTGCCACCTGCCCCACATTTTTTTACTGAGTTGTGTAATTCAATGGATGCAATGCTTGCAGGCCATTATTTGGTTTTCATAAATCTCTATTGAGGAGTTAAGGTGGTTATGTGATTAAGATAGATTTTTATTTATTTGCATTTGTCTGAGTATGCAATGGAAGTGAGAAGCTAGGGAATATCTTTATGTGCAGATATACTGTTAAATACTATTATCAGTTCAAATGCCACACTGTAAAATCAACAGAAAAGTGGCTAGTCCTAACCGTTTCATTTGTAGAATCAACATGACTCTTTTTTTTGTTTTGTTTTCCTTTTTTTCTTTCTTACTTTTTACTTTCTTCTTTCTTTTTTTTTTTTTCTTCTTTTTTTTTCTTTTTTTCACTGGCTTAAATACTTCCTCTCTCTTGCATCAAGTCTTAAGAAGTTCTCTCTCTTGAAACATTTGTGTTAGTTTGGCTAGCTTCTCATTCTATCAGTAGTACAAAAGGGGGTCCAAAAGTAGCTAATGAATTTTAAAAGAATCATCACTATGTGTCTTTTCTGCAGAATGCTGGAAAATTAACAGACAATTGGAAAAAAGCTGATTCTGAGCTAACACACTAAAAGTTGAAGTAGATAAACTGCATAATTGTAAGCCAGTCAGCTTAACATCAGTCTAAATCAGTAATAGATCTGATTAATATTAAATGTATAGACAACATACTTGTTAACATGCCTTCATGGAAAATACATATTGGCAGATACTCTTTACATGAGTTTTTAGATGTGGCTGACAGACTAGTGATGCAATTTGCGTAACACGTTTGATTTGTTAGAGCAGAGTGCTTTGATTTAGCTACATGGTTAAAGTTTCTTAATGTAATTAGCTGAATGTGAATATAAAGCTGGTGGCCAAGAGCTTAATATAGACCATGTGTGTTTAACTAAGACTAGGAGGAGTAGATGTTACTGCTAGAGTTCATCCAACTTGTGGAATGGACTGTGCCTAGTTTTTTTGCCTGCCACTCAGAAATATTGAATAGATGTTCTCTGAATCTTTTTACAAGAACTAAAAAAGGCAAGAAGCATAAAAGTATCCTTGATCGGGAGATATCGGTGAGTTTAAAGTAAATGCCAGGGGAATAGCATTTTAAAACAACAAAACTCAAGTCATACCACTGAAGTTTAGACAGAAACCAGTGCAGGATATTCTTACGGCCTACACTGGCTAGAGATCAGACGAGGAGATTGTAACTTGAATGTTATGAATATTTTTGGATTATGTTTTCTGAAGGCACTACTCATGAGAGCTTTGTGTTGCATTTAGGATCCTGGTGGCGCTTGTTGAAAAGCCTTTTAAATGCTCAGACTAATGATGAATATAATAGAAACCAAGATTTGTTAGTAGCTGTTATGTAGTTGTATTGTTTGTATTTTATTCATAAAGTTCAAATGAATTGATTCTGATCTGTTGCAAAACAAGACATCTTAAATCCTTTGCAAGAGTCAAAAGCTTTATTACAAAATTAAAGAAAAGCTAGACAAATGAGGCATTTCAACTTTTGCTACAAATGTTAAATACTAAGTTTAAATTATAGTAAAAACTTGCTTGAAAAAGAGACATTGTCTTCCTTCCCTTGTCATTATGGTACTTCCCTATCAAAAAATCTTCAATGCTTCTCATGTTAGTAACAGTTGATATGAACTAAAACTATCTTTTTCTGAAGAATCCTCGCAAGGCCCGTGTAACTCGAAGGTTTATTGTAGTGGAAGGATTGTATATGAACACAGGAGACGTTTGTCCTCTTCCAGAATTGGTAAGTGGTTTCAGTTTGCCTTTTAAACTATATGTTTGAAAACATGAAGCTAATAAAATAGTACTTTCATGTAGTTAAGCCTACTATGAAAAGCTTTGCATGCAGGTTTTTTTTGTTTACCTTTTTGCTTTCTCAAACGTTCATGAATGAAATGATGATCCCAAATCTTACATTGTTTTGAAACTTCTGACCAGGATTGGGATTCTTATGGGATACCCAATGGGATATCTAGTGAGACTTGCAAATGAATTGGCATTTTGTGCAGGCTATATTCTGGTAGATAATAGAAAAAATGCCATGTAGCTGTTGGAGCAAGTCCAGAGGAGGGCCACGAGGATGATCAGGGGGCTGGAGCACCTCCTGCATGAAGGTAGGCTGAGGAAGTTGGGGCTGTTCAGCCTGAAGAAGAGAAGCTGCGTGGAGACCTCATAGCAGCCTTCCAGTATCTGAGGGGGGCCTATAAGGATGCTGGAGAGAGACTCCTCATCCGGGACTGTAGTGATAGGACAACGGGTAATGGGTTTAAACTTAAAACAGGGGAAGATCGGGTTAGATACAGGGAAGAAGGTCCTTACAGTGAGGGTGGTGAGGCACTGGAACAGGTTGCCCAAAGAAGTGGTTAATGCTCCATCTCTGGCAGTGTTCAAGGCCAGATTGGATGGAGTCTTGGGTGACATGGTTTAGTTCGAGGTGTCCTTGCCAATGGCAGGGGGGTTGGAACTAGATGATCTTAAGGTCCTTTCCAACCCAAACCATTCTATGATTCTGTAATCATCTTGAAAGTACTTGATAGCCTATTTAAAAAAAAAAAAAAGAATATGAACATTTATGAAGTTTACTCCAGTCTTACATGTTCGGAGAATTTTAAAGGCTTTTAAAGGATCTTCGTGACAGAACACATACAACTCTGGATCTGACGTTTTTGCGGTTACTGTACTTGTCTGTCTTACATTGTTTTTATCTATTTTTATTTATCTTCCCCACCGATTTTTTTTGTACCGAATTCTGATTGGCTTGACTTACATTTCGTATTATTTGCTCTGTTCTAGATAAAATTGAAGTATAAATACAAAGTTAGAATATTTTTGGAGGAAAGCCTTTCCTTTGGTGTCCTTGGAGAACATGGAAGAGGAATTACTGAACACTTTGGAATAAATGTAAGTGCCTTTTTTGTGAGTTTTATTGTGAACAAAACACTTGTACAGAAACAAATTACACAATTGATTTCTTATGCCTGTGCATTATCAGTGTTTAGTAGTGTACGATAGACATTTAAACATACTTTTCTTTATCAGTCTTAATGCATTCAGGTCTTGACACTTTTCTTTCACTTGCTTACATGGAATAATTTTATTTATCTTTAGTGAGGAAGATAACTAAAGAATTTTTACAATGTGTAATTTTACCTCTTTTTTGGACACTGTGAGATAATGATTGCAGTATTATCCTGCCACATACTCTTAAAAGTGCCATGCTTACAGAGAAATATTTGGGGACTAGGGGTAATGCAGAAAAGCCTGTATATAGCCAGCCTACTTTGCTCTGTTGCCCTTTACTCCAGTGGGGAAAAAAACGGGATGCCTTGGGCAACATAGTTTAGTGTGTGGTGTCCCTGCTCATGGCAGGGGGGTTGGAACTAGATGATCTTAAGGTCCTTTCCAACCCTAACTATTCTGTGATTCTATGATAAAGATGTTGGTGGTCCTTTCAAAGGCATTGCTTTAGTACTTTACCTGCAGATTAAGCCAGACGATTTTTCCAAGAGCCTACCATTTATGTTGTTGATTCAGCTGAGGAGTACTTTGGAAATCCTAAACAGTGCCCTTGTGGTCATTGGTTACCACAGCCACCTAAGCTGTGGAAGGACGAAGTCTTCTTCTGGTTACCAGTGTCTTAGCCTGGAGCATCTCTCCCTACATTCTAACAGTGTCTTGAGTTCAGCTTGGAAGTGAAATACCAAATTCTGAGAATTAATTCCAAATTGTTTTCACTTTAAGTATCTTAATACCAAATGTGTGTAAGAGAGAGAGCTTTAGAAAAGGAAACAAACTGTATTGCTGTGATGCTTGCCAAGTACTATCTGATTAATTGGCTTCTGTGTTAAATTAATTTACAAGCATAATCTTTCAGTTTTGTCTGTTCAAAATGGGAATTTGTAGCAGTGGTCATCAGTGTGCTTTACAGAGCCTGGCAAAAAACATTTGCAACTAACAAGTTGCAAGACAGTTGTGTCTCTAAGGTTCAAACTCTGATTTAACTAGGCTTGTGCTCAATCTTAATCACATTTTAACTCCTACTGACTGTGGTGAGACTACTTACGTTCTTAAAGGGCACTGTTACACTGAGTGCTTCGAGGAATTGTCAGCAGTATCTATATAATTTATTTTTTCTGTTCGTGTACTTCACACTGAAATGCCTGGAAAATCCTATTAAGTTTTAATCCTGTTAAAATTATCTGCAGATTCGTAAATTTCAATTTCTAAAGTCCTTTTGCTTAAAATTATTTCAATTGTAGCTTCATTTTAATATGATATTAAAATTATCTTCTCTAATATTCATGATAATATGAAACAAGATACTCCTTTAATAGATTTGCCTTATAGCCCTGATGTAATCATTAATACCTTGTTGATTTAACTGGCAGATTGATGATATAGATCTTATTAGTGCAAACATGGAAAATTCACTGGCTTCTATTGGAGGATTTTGCTGTGGAAGATCTTTTATTATTGACCATCAGGTAAGCCAGGCCTTAATGTTTACATGGTGTGACAGGATTAGTTACTTTGATATTAGTAAATAAATCTAATTTCTATTTACAAGGATTGTAATGATATAAATTATTATGCAACATTTTACTCTGCAAGAAACTGTCTAATTCTGCGAAATACTGTAGGTGAATTGGAGAGCTACTTTTAAGTCCTTCAGTGAACCTGTAAGTGTGGAAGAGAGGTTGTTTACATAGATGTGAATTAACTTTTAAAGCATTGTCTATACTGCTATAAACAAAAAAAGTGATTTTTTTTTTTTTGTCTTCCTCTCTCCTCTCACCCTCCCTCAGCGATTGTCTGGTCAAGGCTACTGCTTCTCTGCATCCCTACCTCCTTTGTTAGCTGCAGCTGCTATTGAGGCTCTGAATATTATGGAAGATAATCCAGGTACTTAATTCAGGAAAAATCTTATTCTTCAGTCTTCTTTCACTCTGAATTAATAACTCATATTTTTCCCTACTTTGATTCCTTACCTTCTTACTCTTTTAAATTCTCTTTTTCAGCTACTTAATGTTACTTGCATGGGGCTTTTTTTCTCAATATAATTTCCCATCCTACTCTTCTTCAGTGTTTGCTGCCCTTACCTTCTTTCAGCTGAAAATGAGCAAATTATTTGGGGCTAGGAGGAACAGAGATGGGTTTCACTAAGCAAATAGGAAATTCTTATTCTGCTTTATAGACTAGTGATATGCTTCCTCCTTGAAAGCAAATTCCTTCAAGACAAAGGGAGGTAGGGAAGGTTAAAGAGAAACAAACGGCAATATATTTCCACATATTCCATCTTCATTAGCATCAACAGGTTGTAGCATGTCTGCAGAGAGATGCAGTACTTAATTTGTCACAAATAAAATCTGCTGGGTAGCCCATGCCTAATCCTCTTAATTAAACAAAAGCAAGAAAAAACTAAGAGTAAGTTAGAGGATTGTTATCTGTAGTGGAGGGTCAAGCTTTACTAAGGAACAGAACCAAGGTTTGTAGATCCAGGAGTAAAAGTTTCCTGTTTACAAATCTGCAGTGACTTGAAAGGATCCAAGGACCAGAGACTGCATGGCTGTAGATATTTTATAGATATAAGTAAATTGGACCTGGCATTTCAATCACATTACCAAGTGCTTGTGTCATCCTTTCCATACGATCATGAACCAGTGCAGCTGGAGTAATGAGATAAAGGGAAGTATGCATTTGTCACATCTTAAAAGCCTGTCATTTCCTGGCAGAAATGGCAATCGGGAACATTGTGAAGAGTAGTGAAGAGACATAGTACTTCAACAGATATGTGTCTCTTAGTTTTTCTTCCAAATGCTTTTTTTTGAAATCTTAGACTTGCAGAAATGTGAAGTAGAAACAAGATCTCTAAGCCTTTTCTTTTTTCTCTTTGTGTTTCATTTTTTTGGTTTGTGGTTTGTTTCTTTTATTTTTTTTTTTGTTTGTTTGTTTGTGTAGACATTTTTCGGACTCTCCGGGATAAATGTGAACGAATTCACAAAGCTTTACAGGGGTAAGTGTGTTATTTTGGGTTGGGATTTTTGTTGGGGTTTGGTTTTTTTTTTTTTTTGGCTGATTCTCCTGGAGAGCATGCTAAAGCACATGAAAAATAATGAAGTGGTTGGTGACAGCCAACATGGTTTCACTGAGGGGAAATCCTGCCTGACCAATTTGGTGGCTTTCTGTGATGGGGCTACAGAACTGATGGACAGCGGCAGAGCAGTTGATGTCATCTACCTGGACTTGTGCAAAGCGTTCGACACTGTCCCGCACAACATCCTTGTCTCTAAATTGGAGAGACATCAATTTGATGGATGGACCACTCAGTGGATAAAGAACTGGCTGGATGGCCGCACGCAAAGAGTTGTGGTAAACGGTTCAGTGTCCACTTGGAGACCAGTAACGAGTGGTGTCCCTCAGGGATCGGTGTTGGGACCTGTCTTGTTCAACATCTTTGTTGATGACAGGGACAGTGGGATTGAGTGCGCCCTCAGCAAGGTTGCCAATGACACCAAGCTGTGTGGTTTACACGCTTGTGAGGTGGCAGTGCCAACTTATGAAGTTTAAGTAAGCCAAGTGCAAGGTCCTACACCTGGGTCAGGCAGTCCTAGGCACAGCTACAGGTTGGGTGGAAAAGTGTTTCAGAGCAGCCTGTCGAGAAGGACTTGGGGGTGTTGGTCGATGAGAAGCTTGACATGATTCGGCTTCAGTGTGCGCTTGCAGCCCAGAAACCAACCGTATCTTGGGCTGCATCAAAAGAAGCGTGACCAGCAGGTCAAAGGAGGTGATCCTGCCCCTCTACTCTGCTCTCGTGAGACCCCACTTGGAGTATTGTGTGCAGTTCTGGTGTCCTCAACATAAGAAGGACATAGATCTGTTGGAGGAAGTCCAGAGGAGGGCCATGAGGATGATCAGGGGGCTGAAGCACCTCCCATATGAAGACAGGCTGAGAAAGTTGGGACTGTTCAGCCTGGAGAAGAGAAGGAGACCTCATAGCAGCCTTCCAGTATCTGAAGGGGGTCTATAAGGATCCTGGGGAGGGACTCTTTGTCAGGGACTGTAGTGGTAGGACAAGGGGGAATGGGGTTAAACTAAAACAGGAGAAGATCGGGTTAGATACAAGGAAGAATTTCTTTGCTGTGAGGGTGGTGAGGCACTGGAACAGGTTGCCCAAGGCAGTTGTGAATGCTCCATCCCTGGCGGGGTTCAAGGCCAGGCTGGGCAGAGCCGTGGGGTACATGGTTTAGTGTGAGGTGTCTCTGTCCATGGCAGGGGGGTTGGAACTAGATGATCTTAAGGTCCTTTCCAACCCAAACCATTCTATGATTTTATAATCCTACTGTGAACTAATCCTTGTTTCCTTTGACTGTATTGTGTTTCAGCATGGCTTTAAAATGCGTGGGCTTTTAGGTCAAAAATACTCAGATGCTTCTATGCTTGAAATTTAAAATTTTGGAGCAACTTGAAAACTGTTAGTGTCTTTTCTTGCTAGTATAGTTATGATTGAGCTCAAAGGAGAAAATCTATAATATCCTCCTCTGTCTTTTTTAAGTGTCATTTTACAAGTATGTTTAAAATACAGAGAAAGAATGTAAGGAAAAATTATCAACCTTTTACTTGTTGATATTCACTGCAAAACAGAATCAAGTAAACCATGGCTGGTACTTTTCTCTGCAGTGACTGATTCTTTTTTTCCGCTTAAATTCATTGATTAATATAATCACAAATCAAGAAGTAGGCAAAATGCCTGAGTGTCTGTAATAGGATTTTTGTATTTTTGCCTTATGGAAAATGGTGTGGTAATACAGGTGTTAAAAAAAAAAAAAAAAAAAAAAAGGGAAAAAAAAGTAGTAGTTCTTCTTGGTCATGCTGGGAAAGAATTTGAATGATTTAACAATACCAGGGAATTGGGAAGCCCTGTAGCAGTAAAACTATCCTAACAATTGCATAAAGCAATATTGTAGAGAAGGTCTGAATTAGTATTTGCAGACTCAAACATGTTTTTATTAATAAAAGCACACTAGAAAAAGTGTGTGATGTTTTGAAGAGGAGGCGAAGTCTTCAGAAAAGCTTTTTTCAATGCTGTGATGTTAAATGTACTCATGTTCTCTGCCTAACTATGACTGCTGCTTGATTCCAATTCTTTATGGTACAGATATCATTTCGTATTGTCTGTGGCAGTTTGTAAAGCATAAGAAAATGCAGTAAGAGATGGGATAATTAACACAAGTCAGGAATATTCTTAAATTTTTAACAACCTTAGATAAAGTAGATTCTGATTGTGTATTTAAGAAACACCTAGTGTCTTAGAAAGTAGAAATGAAGAAGCTCTGTTGCAGGAAGACAGAATTTTCTGGGATTTTTAAAAAGCACGACAAGAGCAAGTAGTACTCCTTCAGGAGTTCATTATTTATTGCATATACTACAACTGGATGAGAATTTTCCAATAAAGCAGGTTTTCATTGAGGAAAAGTGGATTTAATTTTAAAGATTTTTGCTTTCAGAGAAACTTGATGGTTTTTTTTTTTTTTTTCCAATGAGACCTTATTCTAGATTTCTGTAAGCAAAACTGACAAATATTTATGGTATTTGGAGCAGCATGATTACACAGGGTTTCCTACTGCCAGGAGCCTGGACTGCCACTCAGTTCCACAGCACAGCCTTGTAGCTGGGATGAGGAAGATGCTCCCCAAGGCTACTTCAATAGTGGTATGTTAATGGTGGGAAGCATTCATTCCTGGGCACTGGATCTCAATTGTCTACTCTCTGAAGTTATTGCAGTGATCTGTGGCATGAGTTTGGCCAGGCCGAACAGTGCTCTTTGGAAGGACTGACTCCTGGATACAGTTCAAGAGTTGGTGTGAGCCAGGAGCTGTTCACAGTAGTCAGTTTGGATGTGGCCACCCTGATGCAAAGGCTCACATTTTAGAAGTATGGATGTGAGTCATTCCAAACCCATTCACCACAGAGCTGGAAAACAGTTCAAGGCATATTTAATTTATTAATATAAAACTAGCCTTAAAAGGAACATTGTGGTTCAGGAGGCTAGTTTTGTTACTTTGTTACTTCAAAATCAGGTCTTCCAGATACTTCTTTTTGTGTAGAAGTTGTATTTGGTTCATTTGCAAGTGTAGGGGAAGGATACCAGAATATTTGCAGTTTTGTGGCTGAAGAAGAATATCAGTTTTATTTGTCATTCTGGAATGGACTGTGAATTGAAATAGCATTGTAGAAATAATGCAAGATGCTTTCCATGCTGAAGTATAATTTTATTTTTTTCTAGGTTATAATTGATTCAGTGTGTCTGAAGTGCCAGTTTTCTCTCCTACAGGCTCCAGTTCTGGAGTTTATGTATTTAACATCTCTTCTGCTGAGTCTTGAACTTTGTAAAAAAAAAAAAAAGGAAAACTTACTTGCAAATGAGGATATAAACTTACAATGAGTGTGAGGCAAGCTCATCAAAGTTAGGAAATCAGTATCACATCTGATGGTAGACATGCGTTTATGGAACCTGTGAGCATTGGAGACCAGAGGTCTTGCTTGGGTCTTGGATACAGCTTTTTGGAGGGGAATAACTCAGTCCTGAATCAGGACAATGACAATCAAATGTCAATCATTCAATCAGATTCTGGGAACCCAGTTAACAGCTGTCCTTATGTACAGATGTGGGAGCAGTTCTAGTAATATAACTAGTTTTAGAGGAGCTTCTGACTAAATGACAAAGGATGTTGTAAAGATTTTCTTACAGGAAATAAGAATCATAAACCTTGCAAAAAAATAAATGTTGTTTCTTCTTATCATGGAAGTGGGTAAAAAGATTTATTATTATTTATTCTCTTAATGTAGACTCCAAAGACTAGCTGTGTTTTTATCAGCAACATACAAGCCTCACACTAACATTTCTCCTGCATAAGGATCCTTTCAAAATTACTGAATCATTAATCCTTTTCGCAAAAGGAGTCACTGTTGTTACACAAACCTGCTGAAGCTACATTTAGTAAACTCTTTAGTAAAGATATGCCCTTGATAAGCTTTGTTGTCTTTACCTATTGCAAGCTGAAATGCATGTGTTTTGTCTGCATCAAAATTAGTGAAGTGAAATATCCCTCTCTTTGCCCTCACCAGCTAGGAAGGGAGAACATTTACTATCTAGAACTTCAACATGTGTTCAAGAAGGATATGCATTGAAGGCTTTTTATTTGTTTTAGGATCTCTGGCTTAAAAGTAGTGGGAGAATCTTTTTCACCAGCATTGCACCTACAGTTGGAAGAAAGCTGTGGATCTCGGGAAAATGATGTAAAGTTACTCAAAAGAGTTGTGGATTATGTAAGTGACCCCATAGCAAATAAAATACATTGTTGTCTTTGAATGTGAGTAATGGGTATGAAGTGCATATGGGTAGAGAGGCTTGTTGGATAGCTAGCTAGAATGTCTTGCAGGAAACTGTTTCTTTGCAGAGTATAGTGCAATGTTAAAGACGATCTTCGAAAAATTTCATGCTGCAGATGTTTAGATATGTAGCACTGCATGAAAATATATAATCAGACCTTTTACTTCAGAAAATAATTATTTCCTGGTTTGTACTTCAAAACTCAAGTTAAATTTGCATATAAAACTGTTGCTTAGAAAACTTTTATGATGTTTCTAAGAATAAAGGCTATCATTTTAACAGAGTTCTGGTGGAATATTTTAACCGTTTGAGGTCTAGTTTTCTGTAATTATGTTTCTTTGAGTACATGAAGCTGTTTTTTTCTGTGAAGAATCTCATGTTTTATATGTGGTATTTTTTCCGTCTTCAATACACTTCCTCTCCCATGTGATGGAGATGAAGGTAGTTGAGGAAGTTTTCTATTTCAGGTGGCAGGTAAACAAGACTACACAGCAAAAAACTCTGAAGTTGATTGCCCTGAGAACATGCTTAAATATGACTTAATAGCCTACTTAATACAGCATTTTTGTCTGATTACTTGGAGCTGAAAGCTAAAGAAGCTACACCCTAACCGATTTTATGTGTTTATAATTCCATGTGTTTATGCTGTGTTAAAATTAGAGATGATTTTTCACAGACTTAAAAACCTCCATTTAGGAAAGAACTTACAGTTATCCTGACACCAAACTCATGAAAGTTAGTTATATGTATTTGGTCATCAAAAGGATATGCAGTCAGAAGTTCCCAGATTGACAACTGCTGTATCTTCTTTATTTGTAGTGCATGAATAGTGGTATTGCATTAACTCAGGCCTGCTATCTGGAGAAAGAAGAAAAATGTCTTCCTCCACCCAGGTTAGTAGAAAGTTAATAGATCATTTAATTTTATTGGATATGACTGTCTGTCTCTTGTTATACAATGAAAATGGGGCTTTGTTCATAGACTGGATTGAGTAGTTGGTCCTGTAAATAATGGGGAAGGCTCCATTTTGAGTTATATTATCAGTGACTGTTACAGGATCCTAATACCCTGAAATAACTGTATCAAAACTACCAGGCACATTTCCACGATCGGCACATCTGCAAGTAAAAAAAAAATGGTAATCACATATCTGTAGTGTGACAGAGTTAAAAAGAGGTAGTCTGACCATTTCTGCTTAGACCTAGGTCTTGTTTCTGGTTGAATTTGAATCCATAATAATTTCCCTAGAGGTAGTGGTCTTAATGTGTTAAAATTGGTACAAGAAAATTCCAAAGATGAAGGCAAGGAGTAAATTTTACTCTCTATGTTCTGGCTTTCTTTTTCTAGTATTCGAGTAGTGGTAACAGTGGAACAAACAGAACAAGAACTGGACAAAGCTGCATCACTTATTAAAGAAGCTGCACAGTCTGTATTGAATTAGACTGCTGGATTGGATTCCTCTTTCCCCAACTTACCAGGTTGTGTTTTACACTGTGTAGTGACTTCCAAGTTCTTCCACTGATGGCATTGAAATCTATGTGAGTAACAAGATTGTTCCAGAACAGTACAAATGCAGTGAGGGGAAGAATGCTGAATTTTGGAACCTGTGAATGACACAGTGTACTTGCAATTCAGACTCTACCACTTAGCAGCATTCTTTCAAATGCGATATCACTGTTGCATATCTGACTCTTTCATAACTTGCATCTAAGAAGTTTTCAGTTAATTTCTTCAAACCCTTAAATGTTTTCAAAAATGTTTATGAACATTGTTTTCCTCCGAAACATCTAAAATGTCTCATTTTCTCCATGTATCCTTAAAATTCAGGAAACTTGCAAACAAGTTTCAAAGAAATCCCCCCCACACACCCTGAAGATAGGCTGTTCCTAATACTGTCAAAAGGGAGAAATTAACACTTTTAAAATAATTTAGTGCTATATTATGTCATTTATTATTGTATTATACGAAGAACTTAAATTCTTTTTTTGTTATATCTTTCGCTAACCATTTTTGGAAGCTGGTTTTTAAGAATGCCTGGCCAGAGAATTCCATTGTCTAAATGGTAAATCCATATTAAATATTACTTGCTTCCTGCATTTCATACATAATTATATGCATGTTTGATATTATGGGTGAAGTTTTTCATATGATTAACTTTAAAACATCTAAACTGAAAACTGAATTGTGAAATTGGTGTAGTTCCATTATAGTATGTTCAGTCAGGGAGACTTTGCACTACCCTTGAAGAGGAATCATAAGCAACATGAAGAATGAATGCGGATTTTGAAACAGCAGCTCATACTAGTTTAGTCAAACTACTTTGAAGCACTATAATGGTATGTGCTACATTTTATTTCTGAGCAGCTATACCGTAGAGGGAAAGATGGATAGCTAATAAGAGTTTAGATTGTAGAAAGATTACTGAAACACGACTCAATACATGCACATAAAATCCCTACATAATTGGATAGTAATATATGGAGGTTATGCTGTCCAGATTTTCAAAAAGCACAGATGAACATTACACAGATGGACACATTACACCAATCAGAGGAAACTGGTAAGGAAGGATGACAGTAAGCTGTAGCTTCTTATAAAATAAAAATTATATCTATGTGGTTCAGGGTTTTGCTTTAAGAATGCCTGTTTAAAAATTTTATATTCTGCCTGATCTGTATTCTGGGTTGTTTTGTACTTATGTGCCTTTTTGGTTGCTGCTACAGGACTATTTTTGAGAAACATCTCTGTTTAAATAAAAAGTTAATCATGGTTGATTCAGATTTTTACTTATCATAATTAGATTTTGTAGCATGATCAACTGTATTTTGTTGAATATTCTGTGTCAGATATGCACTGTCAGTGTTGCCTCCTTTGGTTCATGATGATTGTCTCTACACTGGCTTTCAAAACTTCTCAGCTGCATGCACTCAGATAAACCACCTAAAGCTATGTTGGTGCACCTTTGTGACTGTTGCTTGACTATTTGAAATAGTGAAATCATTATCTGCTGTGCAATGCAGAGGGACAGTCATCCCAATGTGAAAGAGTATTCCTATTTCACTGACATTTATGTTTTCTCTATTAACTGTGAGTAAAAGCCTGTGAGAAGCCAACAATTCCAAAGAGTCAAAACATGGGGAAGGAAGCTGATTTCCATTTTACAGACTGGAACTGAAGTGCAGAGCAATCGGCCCTCTCAAGACCATCACAAATTAAGAGAAATGGAAATTAAAACCTATGACTATACTTGGAGCTTGTAAGCCATTTTTGGTTTGATAATATAAACCTGAGTATTCAAGTAAACTCAAGCCTTTGATGTATAAGATGGGAACAAATGAGGTACTTATATTCCAATGCAGCATAATAAATGGTTCTAGAGTTCAAGGTAAACCTGTGAAGGTAAGCAAATCACCAATTAGCGTTGAAATACCAGTTTGCAGGATCTATATTCACTTCTTGGTGGGGTTTTATTTTGGTTTTTTGTTTTGGGGTTGTTTTTTTTTTTTAGGTGTCTACAAGTGGGAGGGACTTTCTTGTTGCATTTTTGAGAATTAGCAACAATCTTTAGATACAGGGGTTTGTTTTGTTGGTTTTGGTTTGAGGGTTGGTGTTTTTTTTTCCACTTTAAAGTGAAGCGATAATACCTAAATTGGCAGGAAGCAGAGTGGAATTTCTGGCAATTTTGAAGTTCTGACTAAGTGGTTCTGATGAAACTAAAGTTCAGGTATGTTGCTGAGAGATAATATTATCCTATTCATTTGGCAAACACGTGCCCAGCATTAAACCATTGGAAAAATGGCCTGTGTCCATTTTTGTTGTCCACAAGTGTATAGAAAAGAAGCATTTAGATCACACTAAAGTGAACACTTTCTGATTGATAGCAGCTGAAGTACTGTTATAATGTGTGTTTTAGTGGCAAGTTATATATGCGGTCTCTGTGAGAAATTAAGACACTTATGAGATGTAGCTGGTGGAGAAATATATCCCTGGTCAGTTTAAGCATGTCTGGCCCTCTTCTTTTTTGCTTTTCTAATAAATGTCTCTGGCATGGCAAGCAGATGAATGGAAGTATGGCTCTGGGGGGAAAAAAGTTGGGTTTAGGGAGACAGACAGCACATGTTCTGGTTAAACTTTTGACATTAAAAAATAAGCCTATTAGGGTGCTGAAGTTCTCAGTGCTGTAGGGTGATAACTGTATGATCAGGCCTGTTTTAATTGCTTTGTAGTTACGTTTGGATAAAGAGGGACTCTTTCATCCATTTCTTCTGATGTGGGAATGAAGCTGGGGTCTTAGTAAATAAACGGAAAGCTATTTAGTGGGATGCCTTGAGGTGAATCAAACACACAAGGGCATTACCCCATATTTCAAAGTTTCTATTGAAAATATGTATCTCTCTTCTTAATTTTAATTCAACTAAATTATATATCTATTCTGCCAAGTATTTGGAACAGAATTTCAGCTAAGTGGAAGCATCAGGATAATAAATTGTGATCAAAAATGATTTTTTTTGTTAAATGAAGATTAATATCTGGTAGTTGCGAAAGAATGCATTTTGACTGTAATGAGGGAGCCATTTATAGAAATTGTCCTGATTAAAGCAGTTTTTTGCAATATGTAGTGACTGGGATGGACTGGAAAGAATTTATACTTTGAAGGTATTTTGGATTGAAGAAACATGTCTTCATGGTATATTCTTTTTTTAAAAAAAGATATATTTTCCTTGAATATTTAAAAATAATTGATTGTTATTTGTGTGGGTTCATTGTTTTTATAGGAAAACCTACAGTTGCCTTTTCTGTTTATTATACTAACCGTTTTTTTTATAGAAGGTGAAGCGCATAAGGAGAGTCTTAAGAAAGAAAGAGGGGTATGGCTGAACAACTTTTTTTTTCTTACTACTTTTGAAATGTGATCCCAGTCACTGCACAGAATGCTGTACTGTCTCCTTTCTGTCACTCCATCTGGACTTTATTATTTTAAACAGGATTGTGGAGTGTTGGCATTCACTGATCTGTGAAGTTGCTACTGCAAAAGTATTTTGCACCTTAGGATGACTCAAGAAATGTACATGAGCTGTAAATGCTGCTTAAAAAGAGGAAATATTTACAACTAACACAAACCATTTGTACATAAAACTATTTCAGTGTCCTAATAAAAGGAAATGTGTGGATAACATTTCTTCTTGTATTTTTATGTTTTCTGGCATTTTTCATGCTAATAAGATGATGCAGTTACACTGTCCTGCTGTTGATGGATTTTTCAGATTTTACTTTCCTATCCAGTGTATGCTAGATCATTGCAAAATATTTATAGCAAGTCACATAAGCTGATAAATCAGCTGAGCTGCAGATCGCTGGAAGTATCTGTCAGGGAACTACTGTTCTCTCTACGTGAGCAATTTCTAGTAAGTAGCAGATATGTATGTAAAACTGCTGTTGGAAACTGGACACTGTCCGAGATACAATTTTGCTGTAACTCAGTGTAGAATTTCTGATGTATCAATGATCTCTTGAGTCCAGATGAAATATGCTCCAGCTTTGAAGGACCTTTATGGAGGAAAATACTGCAGTTTTGCCTACTGTGTTGTATGGAGAATAATTCTCTATTTCTCCCTGCTATTAAAGGTGTTACCACCTGACTTTGCGTGGTCTTTGGATAACCGAGCTGTATTTTCCAAGAGGTGATCCAGTGTTGGCAAGAACTAGTAAGAATTGGAGTCAGAGGTGAAACTTAAGTAGATTTGGAAATGTATAATATACTGGATAACCTTTTTTTCTGTAGGTCAAAAGAAAGAATGTTTTGGCCCTAACAGAGGCGTGATCATTCCACTTGGCACTGCACTTGGAGTACTGTCACCAGTTGTGGTCCGCACAGTTCAAGAAAGACAAAGACAGACTGGAGAGTGTCTGAAGGAGGGTCACAAAGATGACTAAAGGGCTGGAGAACCTGCCCTGTGGGGAAGGACCAAAAGATTCATGTCTCTTCCCCCTGGAGAAGGATCAAGGGGACTTCATTACAGTTTTCCAGTAATTTAAGGGTATCTACAAAGAGGGTAGAGGTTTTCCACAAGGAGCCATATGGGAGAAGGGATAGTAGGCACAAGCTGCACCAGGAAAGGTTTTATACTGATATAAAGAAATTTTCTACAGTGGGAAGAACATTCAGTTGCTGGAAAACAACCTCACCAGTGATGTGGGGGAGTCCCCATCACAGCAGGCTTTCAAGACGTAACTGGACAGGGTGCTGGGTAATCTCACCTGGGCTCCCTTTCCCACAAGAGGTTGGACCAGATGATATTTTGAGGTCCCTTCCAACCTAGGCTGTTCTGTTATTCTGTAGTTCCATGATTCTAGACTCAAGACGAACAGGCTTGACACTTGCCTATTCAAAATGTCGCTTCTTTTGGAGCAGGCCCTTTGCTGATTGCCAAAGAATGTCACAGTAGGTGCTGGAGGGAATGGAAGAGAAGGAATTTAAACTTGGCACATTACATGAAGTACATGCTAG